CTCGGTTTGACTATCTGACATTTTAATAACTGCTGAGAAGGTATCAAAGTCTTCAGGTGAGCGCACAGGAGCCACTTGCGCCCCCCCTCCCTTCGAGCGCCGTGCTACCAACCTACCGCCACCAAAGTACGAATTCAAATTAAACGATCGTTTATTTCAAACATCTAATATCCAACTTCTAAACTAAACTCATTACGTCTCGACTTATACTGAAGCTTCGTGCGCAGTTTGAAGTCAATTGAAGTTACCGTCTGAGAGAAACGTGGGCCAGTACAGACAGACAGACAGACATACAGACAGACACACGACCAAAGAGTTCTCTGCACCCCACATCACAGCAAAGGCTTCGCAAGCTCAGCCAATTATAGAATGCTTAATAAAAACTGGAAATGTACCCTTATTTCTTTGCCTACACAGATATATTGCGGGCCCCAACTCCAAACCAAAATTTGTCGGTCGCCCATATTATGCATGCGATTCTACCCCTCGCCTGTGTAATTTTTTCAGGACTGCTAAAATGTATCCTGGTAAGTTTGTTCCTCTTTTGCACCAACTGTCAATTGAATCACACCAATTACTTGCTTTGATGGGTGCGTCAGTTTTTCATGACTAGCCTGAGTATTTTTTTATTCTTCTGTTATAAGTTCCTTATTTGCATGACTAGTTTTTTAAAACTGCAGTTCCTACCAACTCGAAAATAGTAATAGGGCAACACCCAGCAAATCTTCAAATGTTTTCTTTTGCTTTCAGCATCTCAAAGTCAAAGTGATGTAAAGCAGGCAATGAGTGGGGTTAAATTGCTTGTTAGTAAACCAAAAGGTCGGCCGAGAGGTTCAACAAAAACTACAATGATTAAATTCCCTACTACGGACCAAAGAAGCAAAAGATCTCAGAAACCTAGTAACATCCCAACTTTTAATTATGATTGATGTTTTTAAAAATTATTTTTGAATACCTAAGTCTTTTTTGGTAATCTAGGAGGAGCGTTTCCAAGCCTCTTTGAAACCAGTGTGAAGGGGCGGGAGGCAAGAGGTGCCAAAATAAAGGATAGTGATGTACAGAAAATTGCTGAAGATCAGTGGACATGTCATTCTCAGAGCAATAGAGATGACATTTATGAAGTTACAACTCAAAGTTGTACTTGTTTAGACTATACTACAAATGGTCTAGTTTGCAAACATATGTTTAAAATTAGGTCTATAGTTCAAGGTAATATTTTCAATGTCATACAAATTTATACCATAAGAATTTTTTTGTTGACACACCTTGGATAAACATCCTCAATCTAAAGTTGAGAAATAATGATTTTGATTTTTACGATGGTGAAATGAAATACAACTACTTTCTTTGTTTTGTGCTCTATTCAAGGCTCAAAGTTAAGATTTATCATTAGAATTATTTTATTTATTTTGAATTGGTAGTTTTTTCCAGTGTGTGTCAACAATAATGTTTCAAGTGTTCTGTTCAGTGCAGGTATTTATGGATGAGACGAGAATCAGTAGGGTCTCTCCAAAGTAGTAAGCTATTGGGTGTAGCATGTTTGGCTGGCTTTTGGCGCATTGTATTTGTGTGGGTTGGCACATGAGCACTAATTGTGAATTCTTGATTTGGTTTCAGTGTTTGTTAAATCACTGCAATGGTCATCCAAATGTAGATGTTTCCATCTAGTTTTGCAATGAGACCTTTTGTTATCCTGTACAGAGGTATAGTTTTTAAAAATTAGATTCGCTCATCCGGTGAAATTATCAACATTTGTTTGACTATTGCATTGGTTTTTCTGTTCCTCAAATTGCAAAATGAGTTTTGTATGGTGAGTCATATGCTAAAGAAGTGTCATCATGTTCGTGATGATTGCATTGCAACTTCGTCTCTTTCTTACATCGTTGAAAGTGTTCTCTCTTTAATATTCTTACTTGTTTTCAAATTTCAGGGAATAGTAGTGCAACAGCGGAGGTTCTGATTGAGAACCCTGCTAGCAGTTCTTGCTGCACTTGCCGAACTGGTCAGCCTTCCCATTCCTGTGTTAAATGTCACAAGCCTGTCCATGCCATGGACACGTGCTCAACAGCATCTGATGCTGGCGAAGGGTATGGCAAGCCCAGGTTGTGCCTGTCATGCAAAGGTATTAAAACTTAAAACAGATGTGTACATCTTAAAATTTATACATTTGCACTACCAGCTGAGCTCTCTTTCTTACTGTCCTCTTTCAGGAAAGTTTGATAAACCCAAAAATAACAAAAGACCTTCTCCAAAAGAATGGGATGCAATTGAGCCTGCCCCATCTGTGTCCGATCAGAACAATGTCACAACTCGGGCTGGTCGGAGCGTGAAGAGGAAAAATCCATTCACACCGACCAAACCTTAGTTGTCATTTAGTCATTGCACCATTTTTATATCTATACTTTTTAAGAGAAATGAAAGGTGACCTTTCACCTTGTTGATTTATTTTAAAGAGGCGAATTCGTCTGTTGATGCTTTGTGATCTATTGAAGCATGCTATTGCTATAGTAAAGTATCTCTGTAAAATTGTAAAAGTAATTTCATAAGTTTTTGACTATATTCCTAGTCAATTTTTATTTCTGGTCTGGTGGAAACTGTTTGGTTTTTTCTTCTCTATTCTGAAGCTGTTCTTTGTATGTTTGGGGTCTTGTTTACTTCTAAATGTTTATTTTTAGATCCTTTCTGTTTAATTTTTAGCGCACCCTCCTTAAGAACTTGAGTATCTGTTTAGAGGGGTCAACCTTCGTTGTGCAGAGTGGAAACCCTAGACAACTGTAATAGAATTTCTTAACTTTTGTATTTCTGTTTGTGGAAGTTAGTGGACATCATTCATTGTGTATATATACTCTAAATTTATTGGTTTCTATCAGAAATACAGATCGTAATCCATATTGTAATTTTATTTGAGCTCTTAACTTATCAAAACCCTTCCCTTTGATCCCCTGCCAGGCTGACAGTCCATCTGGCAATTGTTTTTCTATTATTTAATAGTTAAAGGCTTTTGTGTTTCAAAATTGTCACACAAGGTGAGCAGCGTAAATCTTATTAAACTTTTTTTTCAGTTTTGAAAATCATGTGCTTTTATCATTGGATAATGACAAACTGTCATTAAAATTTTGCCTTAGTTTTAGTTACTACCCTGGTACTACGAGTCGTTTGTGTGGACTTGCTCGACAATGACATTTGTCAACTTATTTCTTTATGCAGAATTCTGCATTCTTTATGCAGAATTCTGAATTCTTTATGCAGAATTCTGCATTGGTCGACGCTTAAAACAAGTTTTAACACCTGGGGCGAATAGTCTGAATCCATAAGTGATAAGCATTCATGCTTTTTCAAACCAGTCATCCTAGCCAAACAGAGTAGACCCTCCCTACCTAAACGCCTGCAGTATTTCTAGTAACCCTTCCCTCCCCTCTTTTTAATCCCAATGTGTGCATTCTTACTTTCAATTTTCCCCGTATTGGTGCACATAGCGTCTTCTCGTCAGTTTGCATTGGATTTGCTATTTGCACCAATCTGTTCTTGTCTGACAAGTAGACTTGTCGTATGACACTCCTCCAGCTGCCTCCGTAGCGCTAGGGTACCGCATCCGCACGTAGGGCGGAGTATCGATGGTTCGACTCCCCCTGCAGTTTTCTTCAAGTCCAACATTCTTGTACTTTTTTGACAAAGACATGAGGGGGCAAGAAATTGTGATCCTGATCCCTCCTTAGATTTTTAATCTGCGGCACTCTGCACCGGCGCTTGAGACCCGTTGATGCCCGTTGGTGCGAATAGCGGTTAGTAACAAAGGTGCACCAATTGGTGCGCTCCCCTTACCGACTACTATCCGCACCAACCACCCCCTCCAGGACCCCGTTGGTGCGAATAGCTGACTGTACTAAGGCCGCACCAATTGGTGCACCAATGGTACAAGTTGCTATCCGCACCAACCACCCCCTCCACAGGCTCGTTGGTGCGGATAGCAACTTGTACCATTGGTGCACCAATTGGTGGAAATTAATAGAGCGAGCTATGTGCACCAATTGGTGCGAATAGTAGGTCTACGGAAATCCGCACCAATTGGTGCGAATATAATTAATCATAAAAGAATGTCACAAATTTTCTTACCTCAACACGCACATATCCATCTTTCAGATATTTCTCACACTTGACGATTGTACGCTGTTCATTTGGGTATATACCCTTCTTCAAACGGTACTTTTCAAGAAAAAGACGAAATGTGTTCTAGAAACAAGAAAAGAACTGTCACTATTGCTGTTAGATTAGCAAAAAAGACGATAGAAGTTACTGCTTCGCGCCTCCCTACGTTACCTCCATAAATCTGTCAGGAAGATTTGACACTTTGAGGAAGTTATCATCCAAGTTCTTGATCCTCTTGGCCGCTGGACTTCGCACCTCTGAAAAATTTAAACCTCTGAATTCAAGAATTCACGACACGAGAAAAGAACGAATGCTTTGAGGAAAGTAAACCGACGAACAAATCGCGAGGTGACCAACCTGAATCACTTTCGTCCATTTTGCAGAAGTTTTCATTCACGGAATTCGTCCTTCTTCCCTGTACTGTTCGAAATGACTGCTTTTTTGTACGGAATAATATTCCTTGATCTTTCCCCTTTCCAAAAATGTAG